TTAGCTGGAAACTTACCGCTGTCCCTCCTCCTCTTCATCATCCTCCTCCTGCGCATGCACAAGGTCTCTGAACGAGGTTACTCGATGGTCACTGCAAAGATCCAGCAAGAAGAATGTTGGGACACAGTCCAAACTAAAACATTCCCAGCTAAAACATTCCACACTGAAACAGTCGACACTGAAACAGGCTCCTTCTGCAAGGTGGACTCTGTTCACTGATGCCTGAACCGAGAGCATTTCTCCTTCAAGATACAGCCAGCAACTCCTCTTTAAAACTGGGCAGCATTCCCTGACTTCACAGGGATTTGGTAAGGCAAAACTCACTTCTGTTTTTTGTAAAATGCTTGACTTGATCAGCTCAGGTCTCACACAAAACCAGAAAATGTTCTTCCTGCAGATATATGGTCTGCTCAAATGAAAGTGTCACCAACTGACTTTCTTTAACCTCAAAAGAGAAACCAAGTTTTTCCTGAGCAATGAGCAGAGCTTTCCTAACTGATCTCTGGCTCAGTTGTGCAATAACACCCGTGCTGGTGACGTACAGACGCTCAGGCTTTCATAATTTCTAGAGAGCCAAACGAGGTGAAGCAAATCTAAACACAGAGCTACTCTTGAAAACTAACACACATCAGTGCTTTAGAGAGAGTTTGTGTTTTCACAGTTTCCACTGTCAGGCTTCCAGGATGGAGCTGGAGCTCACTCCTCACCTGGCTCCAGTGCCTCTGGATATGGAGCTGGGGGTGGGCTGGGGCAGGGTCAGGATGTCCTCATCACCCCCGTCCTCGTAGAAACTGGCGAGGGCAATCTGCAAAGGGAAAGCAGCAGAGCTTGTCAGGATGGGAGCAAGCACTCCAGAGAAACAGCAAAACACACAAAAACATCCCAGCTGAACCGTCTGCCATGCTGGACCTCTCAAGGCACCTCTCACTAAAGACACTTCATGCCATTTTCCCCTTTGCAGGTCCTGGCAAAGATGAGGCCTTGGCAGGCTCTGCTGTTTGGCTGTGTCATGGCAGGGCACTCACTGCTGTAGGGATGTCACCTTCCCTGCCAGGGAACGCCAGGGCCCTTCTTCTGCAGCACTGACACAAAGGCTATGCCAAAACTACTGCCCTGAAACAGCTGCTTTTGTGCCACCCACAAGCAGAGGTTAATACAGCCAGATCCTTCGAGAAGGACCAGAGACAGGGGCAGGTCAGAGTAGCGGGTGGCTTCCCCTCGGTCTGGGGGCGCTGGGGCCGCCGCTGGCAGCACCAACAGCACAGCGCTGACAACCTCGCCAGCATTCCAGGAGAACCCACACAAACCCGGCACACCCCAGACCCGCCGTCCCTCACTGCGCGGGAGAAAACGAACGAGACAACCGAGACGGGCCTCGGCCCCAGCCAGGCCACGGTCCCGCCGCAAGGGCTGAGCCCGGCGACGGGCGGGGGCGAGGCCTGAGCCTGCGGGACACCGCGCTCCGGCCCAGCGCTGCCCCCCGCCAGCGCCGCGGCGCCGCCGAGCCCCGCAGCGGGGCGGGCGGAGGGCAGCGGCGGAGGTACCTGGAGGTCCCAGCCCGCGGACTCGAGGAAGAACCGCGCTCGCTCCTCCTCGGTGCCGGTCACGGCCACGAACTCCCTCAGCGCCTCCTCCCTGTCCGCCATCTTGCCGCGGTGCAGCGCCCAAACCCCGCCGGGCCGCCCCGCACCGCCCCCGCGTGCGCCGCCAAACCCTCCCGCCCGGAAACACCCGCCGCGGCGAGCGGGGCCCGGCCCGCGCACAGCGGCCCCTGGCGGCCGGGAGGAGCCGGTGCACCGGGAACCGGGAACAGGGAACAGGGATGGGCAGCACTGAGCACCAGGAACAGGGAACAGGGATGGGCAGCACTGAGTGCTGGGAACGGACACTGAGAACCGGACACTGAGCCCTGGGAATCAGGCACCGAGCACTGAGCACCGGATACTGGGAACTGGGCCCTGAGCACTGGATACTGGGCACCGGGAATCAAGCACAGGGAACTGGGCATGGGGGACCAGGATGGGCAGCACTGAGCACCAGGCACCGGGCACTGAGCACTGGGCATGGGGTTGGGCTGCACTGGGCACAAGGCATCAGGCACCGGGCACTGGGATGGGCAGCACCAAACACCGGGATGGGCAGCACCAAGCCCTGGAGGAGGGCTGGTGGATGGGTTACAGACAGGGCTGGATGCCCAGGACTGACGGCACAGAACAACCCAGGGCATCCTCTGCATCCTGGTGCATTTATTTCCAGGCTCACATGACACGGCTGGTGGTGGCCAAGCCCTGGGACCCGCCTTGAGGAACAGTGGGACAGGTCAGCATCCCCATTGCCTCCTTTCTTGTGCGCTTGAAGAGGAAGAAGAGGAGCCCACCGAGGATTCCCTTTTCCAGCAGCATGCCAAGCCACAGGAGGAGGAGGGTGGATGAAAGGTTCACACCTGCAGTGGGGACAGAGGATGTCAGCAACCAGGTCGCAAGGACAGGCATTCCTACCCCCCACAAGGAGCCTTTTCTGGGACTTTGAGCTTTCTCAGGGGATTATACCAGACAGCCACCCTGGCAAGCACCCCATCCCAGCAGCTCTGACACACCATTATTCTTCTGGGACCACTTACTCAGCCCCTTCTGGTCCAGGCTGGCGATCCACAGGATGGCTGACCGTTTGACAGGGGCCTGACCATCGTGTACCACCAGGCAGGTGAACACAGACCCATTCCTCTCCTCTGTCGCTTGCACCTCCACCTGGCTCCTCTGCTCGAACAAGCCCCGGTGCAACACCGATGGCCGGGAGTCGTTCTGCACCTTCATCTTCACCCCGTCCTCCAGCCAGGAAACAGCCACATTTTCTGGGTAAAACCCCTTCACGTGGCAGGTGAATTTCGTGGTCTTGTTCAGCTCAATGGGGCTCATCTGGTCAGCGCTCACATCCACACTGGGGGAAACTGGGAAGAGAGGCAGCACCTGGTGTCTGACATCCCTGGCTCTGCTCCCTGCAGGGTGCCCCGTCCCCACCCCATGACCCGCTGTACCCACTCCAGGACCCCCAGGCCCACAGGAGCAGGACACCCCAGCACAAGGGCCCCAGCCCTCACCTCTCAGGACTCTGCTGAGCTGGTACGTCCCCCGCAGCACGGTCGGTGACGCGGAGTGCTGCACCTCACAGATGAGCCGTGAGGGGACGTCACCCTCCCCTAGGACCACTGTCACACTGCTGGACATGTTGTAGGATTTCTCCCGCCATTCAGTGACCTGGGGCAGCTGAGATGAGATGGGGTCCCTGTCCTTGAACCATTTCACACCAATGTCTTTAGGAAAGAACCCTCCAGCCGTGCAGGTGAAAGTCACCGATTGCCTCAGCCCCGTTCTCTGGTTGGGCCCGGACACGATCGGGGGGGAGGGTTGGGCTGTGGGGAGAAGCACAGGGCTGTCAGACTCTGCCCCCCTGCCCAGCCCCAGGTTTGCAGGGAGCGGGGCATAGGGGTGGTCCGTGGCATTCTCTCCTGGGACCAGCCCCCAAAGCTCCCTCCCCATCCCTGCTCACCCTGAGCAGAGCCCACTGGGCTGGGCTGGGCTGGCTCCCCCCAGGAGCTGCTCTGGGAGCCCCCACTCACCGAGCACAGACACCTCTGTGCCAGTTCCACGCCGAAACACCTCATTCCCACCGCTCAGCAACTTGATGAACCTCACGCAGTAATAGGTGCCAACATCCTCGGGCTGAACATCCCTGATGTGGATGGTGAAGTCTGTGTCTGACTCATACACTGCTCTTGTCACACGGGGAGTAAAGCCTGTGTCCTCATAGATGGTCCTGTTCCCACTGCCCCAGCCCTTCAGCCACTTCGTAGGACCAGGTTCACTGGGTCCAGACATGGTGCAGTTCAGGGTGAGCGTCTCCCCCGCTTTCACCGACACCTTGTCCTGGGGCTGGTGCAGCTTGAAGTCCTGACCCCTCTGGGCACCTGCACCTGGGCACAGCAACAGGAGTGTTTGGGGTTGACAAGGGGCCCCAGAGCCAGGGCACAGCACAAGGCATTGCCAGACACTGGCACTGAGCCAGGAGCAGGAGAAATGTTCCTGTTCCTTGTCCCCCGGCTTGGGAGTGAGGGATGGGGAGAGCCTGGAGCTCCCGGGACGGGGCTGGAGTTAACCAAACTCTTTGTCCAGGGATAAAAGCAGGTTGGAAGGGAGGCAGCAAGAGGAGAGCCCTGGATATCCCCAGGCACAGGGAAGGACTACCCAGCCATCAGCATGCAGAAGCATGCATGGGAAAAGCTCTGGGGCTGTGTGGGCCCTACTTACCTGGGGCTCTGCAGAGCAGGAGCAGCATCAGGCAGGTGAGAGGCAGCACCTCTGTCCCTGGAGCCATGGATATCCCCACGTCTCACTCCCTGATGTCTGGGCTTCTCTCAGCTCTGCTGGACTAGGCTCAACCTGACTCGGCTCAGCTGGACTGGACTCAGCTCAGCAGGGTGCTGCACTGACCCCACAAAAGGGAAGGAAGGGGGCCACCAACGGCCCAGTTCCTCTATGCAGTAATGTCCCAATTGTTCCCCAGTGTTCTCATCACAAGGCCGGTCCAAAATGGTGATGTCCATCCCACTTTCCCCTCAGATATGTGCCAAAGCCGCGGCCGTGGCCACGGGCACTGGGCAGCCAGAGAGAGGGGCCCTGATGCCTCACACTCTCCCACACGTGGCCCCGGGGCGTCGGGGGGACACCCATCCTTTGCCAGCAGGATCGGGGTGCGGGCTGGTGTCTCCCATGGGTCGGTGATGCAGAGCTGGGCCAGGGGCCCCCGGTGCTCTGGCCCCGCACCGAACCGGGGAGGTCGCAGAGCCGCTCCCCGTCCGGAGCCCAGCGCAGCCCCTCGGGGCCGGGCGGCCCGGGGGTGATGCCCGTCGGGGGTGATGCCCGTCAGGGGTGATGCCCGACGGGACTGATGCGCGGCGCGGGTGATTCGCGGCTCTGCCGGGCAGGCATCAAAGCGTTAACCACCCGCTCGCCTCTGTTTCCTGTCCCGCTTCTCCTTTTCCTTCCCAAAGTTTGGGCAGAGCCCATGGCCGCGGCGGCAGCTCCGCTCCAGTCCGGGCAGCGCAGCCCCGTTCAGCGGCCGCTCTCGGGTGAGTCGGGAGTGGAGCCCCTGAGCCCTCCGCTCCCCTGCCCCGTCCCACACCGGTCATTAACGCGAGCGGGCGCCAAAGATAAGCGCTGGCCGGGGGGGTTCCTTCCGCGACCACCTTTTGGTGGCAAAGCGTCCCCGGGGCTGCAGAGCCCAGCTCCGGAGAAGAGCACAGCCGAGTCGAGCCCCGCCGAGCCGGTGCCGAGCATATCGGGGGATTTGGGCAGGAGAGGTTTGGGAATGAAGGGGTTTGGGGAGAGGGGAGGTTTGGGAACTGGAAGGGTTTTGGGGTGCAGGAGGGATTTGGGGACAAGGAGTGTGGGAGCTGCGCTGGACTCCGGGGTTGCACATCCCTGCCCAGAGCCAGCTCCTGGTTGGCTCCTGGCTGCGAACCCCAATTCCTCTTGGAGCCCCAGTGATCCTGACTCGTGTGGAACAGAGCCAGGGCGTTAACGTTTAACAGCACTCGGTAGTTTTTCCTGGCAGGAATTCCCCTTGGCTCCCTCTGTACCTCTCTGGCCTCCAGGCACCTGCAGCACCTCCTGCAAATGACACGACAGGGTGTAGATTTATCAAATCATAGAATCACAGAACCATTTAGCTTGGAAAAGATCTCAGAATCGTCAGGTCCAACCATTCCCCCAGCACCGCCAAGGCCATCACTAAACCTTGTCCCCAACTGCCACACCTATATGTCATTTAAACCCCTCCAGGGACGGTGACCCCACCACTGCCCTGGGCAGCCTGCTCATTTTTCAGATTCGCCCCTTGTTCATTTTGAACTCTGCTTCCCCTCTCCCAGTGCCTGCACTTTGCCTCTACCACATCTCAGGATATCTCTCAGCTGCTCTGCCTGTGAACCAGCCCTCACCTCTCCCCATCACTCACCCCTGAACCCTCCTGTTGCTGTGCCCAGGTGCAGGTGCCGGGGGGGGTCAGGACTTCAAGCTGCACCAGCCCCAGGACAAGGTGTCGGTGACAGTGGGGAAGACGCTCACCCTGAGCTGCACCGTGTCTGGATCCAGCGAACCTGGTCCTGTGAAGTGGCTGAAGGGCTGGGGCAGTGGGAACAGGACCATCTATGAGGACACGGGCTCTGCTCCCCGTGTGATGAGAGCGGTGAATGGGTCAGACACAGACTTCAGCATCCACATCAGGGATGTTCAGCCCGAGGATGTCGGCACCTATTACTGCGTGAAGTTCACCAAGTTGCTGGGCGGTGGGGACGTGGTGTTTCGGCGTGGAACTGGCACAGAGGTGTCTGTGCTTGGTGAGTGAAGCCCAGCAGGACGCCGCTCCCAGGGCCCCATCCCACAGCCCCCACCCTGCCTGCGGCACGGTCCCACACTGCCCTGCACCCACCACCCTCTCCCGCTCTGCCTCCATCTCCACAGAGGCAGCCGTGGTTCCCGGCATGGTGGCTGCAGTTGTGGTGCTCTGCTTCCTCCTTGTCCTCGGCCTCCTCGCCGCCCTTTGCCTGTACAGGAGGAAGCGCCAAGGTGGGGTGGGCAGCCCGTGCCCAGCAGGGCCAGCAGCTGTGGGCAGCTTCCCACCCGCCCCTCTGCAGTGCTGTGCAGGGACCCCCAGCACCTGCAGGTTTGTACCCACCACTTCTTCCTTCTGCACCCTGAGGTGAGCAAACTGCCTTATCCACCTGCTTTATGCTGTTTTTTTTTAACTCTCTGGAGCAGTAATTTGCCCCAGAAAAGGTCCTTTACTGCGCTGTGCTGCTTCTCTCTGTGTTACACAGGAGCACCTGGCGGGGATCACCCAGTACCAGGGAGCTCCCTGCAGCCCCTCTCTGTGGTGTCTGAGCCCAGCCCAGGAGCACAGACAGCACATTGTCCCTCTCTGCCTTCAGCACGGGCATCCTGCTGAAATTTGGGAGGGGAATTGAGGGGGGCTGTGCTGGGTGGGAGGGGACCCAGATTCTTTTGGTTCTAATGGTTTTCCTTCCCTCTGCAGTGAAGTTCTGGATGCAGAGAGCTCCCACCTGCCCAGCCAGGTAAGAGCGAGCTGTGAATAGGGGGAAGCAATCCCATGCCAATGCCCCGGCTTGCAGGAACTCTGGGGCCAGGGGGGACCTCGGGTGGGCAGCAGCTGCCTGCCTGTGGTCCCAGCACAGTCTGCACCGCAACACGGGGCCACCTCTGCAGCTGCACCACCACCAGCCTGGCTCGAACCTGGTTCTTGTTCTTACCCTGTGTGAGGCCAGGAGTTGGACTGGACGATCCTCGTGGGTCCCTTCCAACCCAGGGGATATCCTGTGATTCTGTGAAATAGGGTTGGGGTTATTTTTGCAAGATTTTTCCTGTGGCATCATCCCCCATTTCTGTGCACTTCTGCAGCAGGGCAGCAAGGAGGAGAACGACATCCACTACGCCGACCTGCAGGCCCTGCCCACGGCCCCCCGGCGCGGCAGGACCGCGGGCACAGCCTGCACGGAGTACGCCAGCCTCAGGGTAGCTGCCAAATGACGCGTGGCACCACGGCCTGTGCGGCCAAGCCGTGGTGGGGAGGAAGCAGGGATGTTCCTGCAGGGCACAGTAAAGAAGAAGTGGAGCTGTTTACGTGGCGCACCCCGGCCTCAGCTCAGCACGCCGTTCTCGGAGCCAAGCTTCCTCCTCTTTATTCCTGTCTCAGGGCTGGACCTGCTGTGCCAGTGCTGGGCAGCAGCTCTCCCAGGACCCAGCAGCCACCTCAACCATAGGATCAGGCCACGAGGCCAAGCACCTCTGCATTGTGCAAGCTGTTTGGTGCTGATGACGCCAGGGGGGCCTCATGCTTGCCTGTGCCCACCAGCATAGGCCTCCACTGGCCCTTTCCCGGCTCACAGGTCCATAATTTGTGTTATCTTGTCACCACCCTCATTAAAGCCATCAAACAACCGTGCTGTCCAGTTTTACTGTGCTCAGGGCAAGAGCAATAGTGCCAGTCCTGCAGGATCCTGGGGGGATCACATGAGGCCCCCAGCAACCCCCTTGGTGGGAGGGGCTGAGGCCAAAACGGGCTTCCCAGGCAGAGGAACCTTCTGCCACTGCTGCCTGTGACCTCGGAAGCTGCTGCACTTGCCAGTTTTCAGATTTATCTACTTTTTCCTGTGAAATCAGAAAAGAGAAGTGAAACAAGACTGTGCAGCCCCGGGGAGCGTGGCTGGCAGGGAGATCCTCGTGAGGACAGAATTGTCACAGGGGGGAGAAGAGCTAACACGGAAATTTATTTGCATGACTGAATAAGAGTCCCCTCCTCTGGGGACGTGTCCTAGGGACAGTTTGGGGTCAGTTCTTTCTCAGAGACAGCTTGGGGACGCTCAGCAGCCTGTGGGCATGGTGATAGGGGGTGGAGTTTGCCAGGGCAGGGGTCCAGTGCCTGTCCTCAGCCTGGGCCCGTCACTATGGGCTGTGGGGTGGGAGTGCCAGACTGAAGCCTTCCCCAGTGCTGGATCCTGAGTGGAGCCATGACAATGCCACGGATCATTTCCCAGCCAAGGCAGTGGCTGCTCTGAGCAGGACAAGGGTTGCCTGGGCTCTGCACAGGGACGACACCAAAACTGGCGGAAATCTCACATCAAGGCTGTGAACAGGAATATGTAAAATATGTGGGTGAGACCGAAACCGGGGATAGACCTCGAGGACCAGGGGAAATGAAATTCAAGGGGATTTAGAGCTTTTTAAGCACTGGGCTGGATCAGGAGTGGGGAAATCCAGTTTGATAGGAGCATATGCAAAGCAGGGAGCGAGCAGAGCACGGTGGAGCGCTCTGCACCTAGGAAAGGGCCCAGGTCTGCGGCTTACTGCCCAGGGGAGGGATTTGGTGGTTATTAAAGGAAAATCCTTTAAGCCACCAGCCCGGGGTGTGCCGGCAGTGAAAGCACAAACAAGCGCCCGAGCACGGACACAAGGTAGGAGCGTGCTGGGGAGCACCTCGCTCGGGGGGCAGAGCCTCACTCGGGGGGCAGCACCTTCCTCAGGGGACAACACCGGCTTGGGGGGCAACACCTCGCTTGGGGGCAGTGTCAGGCACTGCTGGGGTCATGGATTCACTGTGGTGTTTTCCTGGTGCTGGTGGTTGTCACATCCCACTGAGTCACCCGCTGGGTGCTCGAGCGAGACGAGGGGGGGTGTGGGAGTACAGGAGCTGCCATGGCTGGGGGGCACAGGGCAATGCTGGGGTTTGGGGCTGGCACCCACCAGGCTCCTCCTGCCACAGCCAGGGCCGAGTGAAGGTGGCAAAGACTTCAGTGTGGAGCTGAGGTGGTGCCTGGATGGGTGGTGGGAGAGGCTTGGTGTCCCAGGGGGGAGATCAAGCTCCAAACAGGTTTTGGGCTGTGTCCTGCTGCTGGACCCCGTGCATGGACACCCCGGGGTGGTGTTGTGCCAGGTTTAGCTGGGCTTTTCCTCTGCATGGTGTGTGAGCCCAGTGCCAGGACCCCATGGGATGGCAAAGTCAAGAAAAACGGCTGGGCTGCACTGGGATGTGTGTCTGGGTGGCCAGGGGATGTTCAGGGGCTGCTCTGGCGTCTGATCTGAGAGGTGGGAATTGTCTCCTGGAGGTGCCAGTGCCAGAGGGCTGTCAGGGGATGGTGTGTGCTGTGCTGTGCTGTGTGTGCCGGGGAGCCAGAGTGGGAGGCATGGGCTGTGCCAGGAGCCAAGGGGAAGCATGACAGAAAACATGGAATAATAGAGAGCAATTAGTCTGGAGAGAGTGGCTGATGGAGGGGGCTGGTCCTTGCAGCAAGGGGAGGGCAGCAAAGGTTTAATTAATGCTGAGGAAGAGCGTGGTCTCAGCTAGTGTGTGGGCTGGCTGAAACAGGGGGCTGCAGGCGTCTCCCTGGTGTCCTGGGGGACAGGAGAGGGCTGGCTGCACTCATGGGGAGTGGGACAATTCTCAGCTGTGCTGAAGCCAGGGCTAGGCAAGAAGAAAAAGGGAGAGACAGGGATAAATGCTTCATGCCCTGCCCTGGGATGCTCCGGCTCCACAATGAGAAGCAGAGATCCTCCACAGCGGCAGTGTCTGTCACAGGAATAGGTGCCTGGGGGACATCGTGTCTCCTGGAGCCAGCGTTGCTCCAACTGGTCCCCTCCAGTGGCTGACAGGGCAGTGGCTGCAGCCAAGGGCCTGGTTTGTGGCTGTCTCTGTCCAGGATACCCTTGCTCTGTCCCTATCCCTGTCCCCATCCCTGTTTCCGTCCCTGTCCTTTCCACCATGTAACCGTGGTGGGCACAAGCCCATCCCCAGGGAGAGACAGGCTGATCCATTTGCACACCAGCATCCCCCAAAAGGCCATGGGTCCAAGAGCATCGGATGCCACAGGAACCCCACAGGGCCCCCACGATGCCACAAGCACCCTGTGATGCCGGGGCACCCCATGCTACCAAAAGGACCAGGCAATGTCATGGGGATGATGTGCCAGGACACATCAGGGAGCAGCAGGAGGAGCTGAAGGAGCAGCCAGCTGCCTTGAGGGGGTTGGAGAGAAGGGAGAGGGTCTCGGAGACACTTTGATTGTCCCCAAAAAATGCCCCAAGGGTCTTGCTTATGCCCACTGTCTTCCCTGGGCTGGGCTCCTGCCACGAGAGGGAACAGGAAGGAGAAGCCCTGGAATGTTGCACAGTCAGAACCTTCTCTCTCCAATTCCAAACCTATTAGCTCACCCCTTTGCAGCTCCCGGTTTCTCAGGCTTTTCCTTAGAAAGGAACGAAGCCGAAGTAAAACGGTGACATGCTTTACACTGGTCCTGATTTATTTCACGTCTTACTATTGAATCTTATTCCCCAGTTTCACGGTTGTTGTGGATTTTCACCAAAGGGGATGAACAGGTCTGGGATTTGGGGTTGTCATAGGAACTGTTTCAGTGCCACAGCCTCACTGCCAGCCTCGTCCCCTCCAGGGTTCCTGATGGAGTGAGGGCCCTCACCAGCCCAGTGGGGGTTTCTCCAGCCCCCCAGGCACAGTCCCAGTGACAGCCGGGGTACAGGACAGCCACCCCACAACACTGGGACACCGGGGTGTTTGGGGAGGAGGTGGACTCCTGGGCACTGCCTGGCCCTGCCCACAAAGCGAACTGGGACCCCCAGACTGCAGTCCAGAGCTCTAAGTTGAGAAGAGGAGGAGGTGTTTGGAAGATGCTGCTTGTCCCTGTGGATTCTCTGGTGTCTAGTAGGAGGCTGTGCTATTGCAGTTATTGATAGTGGGAACCCCTCTGCCAGACCTGGAATCATTTTCATTTAATCCGTGGAGCTGAAGGGGCGTGGGGTGGATGGGGGCCTGCCCTCTGACCATTCCTCACCTCTTCTATCACAGGCAGAGGGGGCAGGCAGTGAAAATGAAAATGTCACATCCTTTGTACCCAACACTCCTTTGGCCCATGCGGTCCTTCACTGCGGGACGCCATGAGGCCAAGACTGGCAGTGATTAAAGAGGGGTTTCCAGGGCTGTGGGACAAACAGGAACATCCAGTGCTTAAGAAAGACTCACTTTGTGCTTTCGGTGTTGGACGGGACATTGGTCAGGGACAATCGCCCTCTGGAGCCAGCACTGGGAGGGCGGATCCAGCTGCAGTGCTGGGTCCTGCCAGTGCCTGCGTGAGGGTTCCAGGGTGGGCAGGAGGGGCTTTCCTGCCTGCACTGGGGTGCCAAGGGCTTTTCATGCTGGATCAGCTGTTGGCATCACACTGGAGTGGTCCTGGTGCCCCCCACAGCCACACATACACACGTTGTACCCGTAGTGAGCTGTGCACGCTCCTGGGGACTCTCCAGATGGCTTTGTCCAGGGAGAAGTGCTCAGGGCAGGGAAAACCTTTGGGGAGCTCCCTGTCCCGAGGGCAGGGTGTTGCAGGGTCCCTGGAGCTCCCCACTGCTCCAGGGAGCGACCTTAAAGCGCGGCTGTGCTTGGCAGTGGCCCCAGCACTGGCAGCCCCCGAGCCCGGCACAAGTGTCCCTCCGCAGAGAAGTGCAGGGAAAGGGAAAAATATTGAGAGAGGCAGGAGAAGGGGGAAAGCAGGCGCTGCGGGAGGCAGCGCGGCGCGGGCTGAAAGCTCCCTCTCAGCGGGCTTTTGTTCGCCCCGGACGTGCCCAGTGCTGCTGCCAGCCCGGAGGGGCTGTGCTGGCGCCGGTGGCTCCAGGCGATCCCGGAGCTCCGCAGCCTGCCCGGCGCCTCAGCCCAGCGACGTGCCCGCGGGCAGGATGCGGGGACCCCCCATCACCCCGCTGGGCTCGGCCCCTCGTCGCCGGCCCTTGGTGGGGGCAGCGCCCGGACCCACAGCGTGCTCCCGAAAATAATTCCTTCTGACAGATCCATTTCTTCCGCATGGTTCAGGCTTAATTTTATAATGGTATCAGTAGCTATGGCAACGTGTAAAAATAACGGATCCCCGGGCCCGGCAAATTCTCCGTAAACAGCTCCCGTCTCCCGGAGCCCGGCCGGGTGGGCATCACCCCTTGCCCACGGCTACCGCGGCCGCTGCAGTCAGTGGTTGGGTTGGAATTCACGCGATGACTAATTAGCAGCGTTAACTGCTTACGCTTTGGGATGATGATTCCATCAGCTAATCCTTGGGGCTAGGCTGGGCTAATTGGGTGGATATCATTAACTCTGGCGGTCAGAACTGCTGTTACAGGGCTGCAGCGCAGCGGAGGCTGGAGCATCTCTCCCGCGGGTCCCTCCTGGCACCCCAGACCCAGCACGGGGCTGGCGGCCGTGGGGGGCCGGGCACGGCTCAGCCCCCGCGGTGTCACCGGGCCACCGGCCCCATCCACACCTACAGCCTGTCCCGGAGCCGTCCATCCACGCGTGTGCACACGTGTGAACACGCACACCAATGCAAACACAAGCAGGACAGGTTTCCCACACGCAAGAACCCCCCTCGGCAGACATCAGCTGGTGCCAG